AGGGTTTAGGGTTTAGGCTTTACGCTCAGGTTGATGCTTAAGATTTTCCCAGGTCATCCTTTCCTCGATAAGGACATCCCCAAGGGTTGCAGGCGCCCAAAGACGACGACCCCACCGTAGTGGCAAATTCTGTATGGTCCCGACACTACATAATCTGAGTGGATGCACTTAAAAATTTTTGGGATAATATTACCTACTATAAAACTGAAAGTGTACACTTTTCTGGGCTTATGAACTCAGCAACTAAGTAATGATACTGTAACCTACCCCACAGCCCTGTTCCAATTTTACAGTCGTTGCTGTGGGCTAAGGATGTAGGCTAGGAGTTGCGTGATACGCAAAGCTGGCGTTGGCTCGAGCAGTGGCAGCGACACCACCTCTCCCATCGACATCCCCGAGGAGAAGAACAGATGAAGGTGTTCCACCGAGATGTCTCTCTGGTCGCGTGCTTGGCCGAGTTTGTCGGCATGACTCTGTTCGTGATCATCGGCTGCGGCAGCGCCATGGGCATCCAGGGCTCGGGCAGCTCGGGTGGCAGCGGTAGCGACGGAGACAGCACCAGCGGCGAGACGACCTCCATGATTCCTGGCTGGGTTCTCATGGTGGCTTTGGTGTTTGGCCTGTCCATCACCACCTTGGCCTACTCCATCGGACACTACAGCGGGGGCCACCTCAACTGCGCCGTCACCCTTGGCCTGGTCCTTACTGGCAACTGCCACGCGCTTCAAGGGCTTTTCAACTTCGGCTCCCAGATGATGGGCTCCATCCTTGGCGCGGCCATCCTCTGCGCCATCTTCCCCCCGGAGCTGGATATGACGAAGACCTTGGGAGCCAACAGTGTGGGTCTGAAGTGGAACTGGTGGAACGCACTGATCGGCGAGCTCGTGGGCCCTAAATCCCCTAAACCCTAAACCATAAACCCTAAAACCCTAAAGCCCTAAACCCTAAACCCGAAACCCCAAGGCCGCAGAGGATGTGGACGCGTCGGCCGGGCCCGGCTACTGGCGCAGCATGTGGATCTTCTGGGTCGGCCCGCTCCTGGGAGCGTGCCTGGCCGCAGCCGTCTACAAGGCCCAGGGTTTAGGGTTTAGGGTTTGGGGTTTAGGGTTCAGGGTTTAGGGTTCAGGGTTTAGGGTTTAGGGTTTAGGGTTCAGGGTTTAGGGTTTAGGGCTTAGGGGTCTACAAGGCCATGCTCATGCTGGATGCGGTCCACGAGGAGCACACCCTGAAGCATCACCCAGGCTACAAGCGCCGGCAGACCCTGATCCAGCACGCGACCGAATCGACTTCCGCCCCAGCAGCTCGAGAGGCCGCAGTTGGGGGCCCGGTGGCTTGGGTTCCTGTTAAGGAGTTTAGTTTAAGGTACCATAATATGGATCTATAGTAAATAATATGGTTTCCTGATTATAGTATCTTAAGCCCCTTAACAAGAGCCCAGGTGCTCTTGGGCAGCAAGCACGGCCAGAAGGAGGGCAAGGACACGGCCAGGGCGTCCGAGGTCCTCCAGGAGAGCAGCGTCTAGCTCAAGCGCTGGATTCCGGCGTTTCAATCAGGCCAGTTGTGTGGCGCACGGTCTGCAGTTTTGTGACCATAACTTCGCCCCACCCGACAAGTTTTCTTCCCTCTTTATCTGAGTCCCAGAAGAGGCTCAGTATTTGTTAGTCGCGGTGGAGGCACGGACCTAATTACCCTTCCCAAACTTCGTTCAGCGTCTCAATGCTGACGACTGACGAGTTCGGGAAACATCGAAACGGCAGCTTAAAACAAGGCCATGTGACGTTGGGCGTTGACTTGTCTGACACCAGAGAAGCAGCGGTAGTTCCCTTAGTTCCCTTAAAGGAGCCCTTTAGAGGAACCCTTCAAAGGAACCCTTCAACGGAAACGTTGAAGGAACCATGAAGTCCTTGTAGGCTTCAAGACGAGCTGGGCGTGACCGCAACGGTGGCGAAGCAGTTCCAACGCAACTGGGTTTGAAGTGGGGTTGCATCGTGTTTTGAAGGGTTTTGCGTGGTTCTCTAGTGTGTTTATAGGACCTGGTAGGTTTCCTTTTTATAAGGCTGTATAGGTCTTTACGGTTGTTGTTTGTTTCTACGGGTTTTCTAGTTTTAAAAAGGTTTTCAGGGTGTCATAGAGTGTGATAGGGTTCTACAGGTTCTATAGGGTCTCTTTGAGGTTTTCGGGGTCAAATCACTTAAAGAAGCCCCATGAATGGCCCGCGGGCTTTGTGTCAGTAGAGTCAAAGCATTACGTGAGGTACTTGTAACTTATAAACCTGCAATGTCCCATGATCCGGCAAGTAGCCCTTAATTGATGGATTTTGATGTGGCGGCACGAGGGGGGGAAAATCTCTTGAAATACATGTTCCTTCCATACTTGGAGGATCATGGGACTTAGTAAGTAAGGTTATGACGTTATAACTACCTTAATTGGGGTTATAATTACTTGTAGGTATAGTTACCTTATTTATAGCCCTAGTTGCTAAGGCCCATGATCCTCCAAGTAAGAGGTGGACCATAAAGCCCTCACACCGAAATCCTGAACCCAACTTAAATCTTGCAAGCCCTTGTAGAGAAGCCCTAGACCCTGATAAGACCTTCGAGTGACCCTTTAAGGCCGCACGAACAACAAAAATCACCAAAAAGACCCAGGCCCTAAACCCTAAACCCTAAACCCTAAACCCTAAATGCACCAACAAGACCCAGGCAGCCCTAACCGGCCCTAACCCCTGAACCCCAGACCAAACCCTAAACCCTAAACCCTGAACCCCAGACCCTCCCTAAGCCCTGAACCCTTAAAAATCTCGCAGCAACAACCCAGGGGGGAACTTTCTGGTTCTCCTGGTGTCGATCGAGCAGCACCTCGGAATGGGGAACGTTTTTGGGGGTTTAGGGTTTAGGGCGAAGTTTTTTGGGGTTTGGGGTTGAGGGTTTCAGATCTGAGGGTGTTATTGAGTTTTCAAGGAGGGTCGGAATGGCTTAGTATAGGGGCAAAAAAAATTACCAATACTATTTTGGGGGTTCCTTATTATACATATAGTACAAAGGGCCCCAAAACCCTATTCTAATTATCAAGGCCCCTACATTAGGGTTGAGGATTTCAGATCTGAAGGTTAGTTTGCAAGAAGGGTCGGAATGGCTACATTTGGAAGGTAATATAGAGGGGCCTGAATAGTCAGAAAAAAAGTTTGGGGAATATGTACTACAATTTGTGGCAAGGAACACCCCCCAAAATAGTATTGGCAGTTATTCAGGAATCTACATTACGAGGTTCGACGATGTTGTAAGGAGGCATCTGAAGTTATCAGGGGGTTTTGGTTGGGATTAAACCCTAAGCCCTAAACCCTATGTAAACCCTAAACCCTAAACCGCTGACGGGGTTCTTAAAAGCGACTCGGAGAGGTGTGAGGGTGTCGGGGCTCAGGGTTGTAAGAAGGTCTCTTGGGTCTAGGGCTGCGCATCCCTAAACCCTAAAACCAGGGTTTAGGGTTTGGACCACCCTAAACCCCAAACCCTAAACCCTTAACCCTGGGTTTAGACCAAACTGAGCATCCCCAAACCCAGTTAGGGTTTTCGGTTGAGGGTTTAGGGTTCAGAGGTCTTGATGCCGTGTAGGATCAGCTTCTGTTTGAGGCCCCTACGTGTGATCGTGGGTGTTCTGGCGTCCCTGTCCACAATGGTTTCCAAGCCAAGAAGTAGATTAAAACAAAAACCCCCGGAGAGAGAAACCCTCGACCGCACTGCACGATGTCTTGCAAAGTTATGGGAGCCCCGTTCCGCGAACCTAAGCCTTAAACCCTAGACAAACCCTAAACCCCTAAACCCTAGGCCCCTAAACCCCGAAAAACCCTAAACCCCTAAGAGGGAACCACAGGGATCCCACTCTGGGAAGCAGATTCCAGCGCACCTTCTGCCCTTAAGGCATCGCAGCCCTGAACAAGCACACCCTGGACCCTGACCCCAAAGTAAGCCCTAAACCCTAAAACCTGAATTAAACCCTAAGCCCTAAGCCCTAAGCCCTAAACCCAAAGCCCTAAACCCTAAACCCTAAACCCTAAACGCTCGACCCCATGCCCTAAACACCAAAAATAGGGGCTTCGCCAAGCCGTCATACCATGCCCTGGGGGTCCTCAGAAGCCCGACATCCCCAAAGAACCTACCGTTTTAAGGATTTATACGGTTTAGGGTTTAGGGTTTAGGGTTTAGGGTTCAGGGTTTAGGGTTTAGGGTTTAGGGTTTGGGTTTTGGGTTTAGGGTAAGGAAATCATAATAAGGAACCCCAAAAAGGAAGGTTTTCTAGGGTTTAGGGTTAACGTAGAACCCCAGTATAAAACGAGCTGTTCAGGCAAAAAACGCTCGAACCCTGAAAGGGGACTGTGATAGACTACTATAAGGGATCTCTTCCTTCTTAAGGGTTTATTTAAGGTTTTAGGATTTAGGCGTTTAGGGTTGGGGTTTCGATTTTTGGGGTAGGACCCTTGACCCTGAAACCCGAAGCCCGAATCCCGGAAAACCCAACCCCCAGAGGATTGACATGCGCAAGATGATCGCCTCGAAAAGCAGTGAGAAGATGCTGAAGAGGCTGCTTGACCTAAGAAAACACAGAGTGTTGCAGGAAACCCTAAACCCGAAACCCGAAACCCTGAACCCTAAACTACCCTGAACCGTAAACTAAACCCTAAACCCTAAACCCTAAACCCGAAACCCTAAACCCGAAACCCTGAACCCTAGACCCTGAACCCTGAAACCTAAGCCCGAAACCGTGTCTCACAGGGCATGAGAAAGGTTTCCAAATAGCCCTAGCACCCCAAACTCCAAACTCCTTATTCAAGCGGGACAGGCAAAAGGTACCCTTCCTCTTCAAAGCCTCACCCTAAGGCCCAAACTAGGCCAAAACCCTCATATAGTATGCTCTTTGGGCCCAAAGGCCTTAAAATAACCAACCCGAAACCCTTCCTTACCATTCAGACCGAAATGTTACAATACACCCCTCAAAACCTCAAGGCGTAGGGTTTCGGGTTTGATCTAAGGACTCATATTAACTCATATTCAATATGAGTCCTTAGAGCCTTAGGGTTATGATGGAACAGGACTCAGAGGACGGGAAGTGATTCAGACGACCGGACGTTTAGGGTTTTTAAGGCTTACGTAGGCTTTTTGGGGTGTTGGGGTTTAGGGTTCAAGAGGATTAAGGGGTGGCTTTAGGTTTAGGGGGTTTGGGTTTAGGGTTTAGGGTTTAGGGTTTAGGGTTTAGGGTTTAGGGTTTAGGGTTTAGGGTTTAGGGTTTAGGGTTTAGGGTTTAGGGGGTTAGGGTTTAGGATTCAGGGGTTAGGGGAATTTAGTATGCAGCTTATATAAGTTATCTTAATAAACACCGGACGCTGCACCCTGCTGCACAAGTTAGGACCCCTTAAACCCTCGATCCCACACCTGAGCCCAAACCCACAAGTGAGCAGTTCTCTAAATCAGGGTCTTTTTTTTGGGCCCTTTTATAAGGGTGCCGTACTATATTGGGGACCTAAAAGGGGACCCTAATTTAGAGAACTACCCAAGTACATTCGAGACCCGGACACAAGGCTTCCTAGACTCCTCTTTTAAGGGTACCTTTCAGGGGGTTCCTTTAAAGGGGTCCCTTAAGATTGCCCTTGAGGGCCGACGGAAGAATTTCGCTTTAGGGTGTAGGGTCCACTACAAGGTCCTAGAGTTATGGGGTATGCTACAGTATTAGGGTTCAGGGTTTAGGGTCTAGGGTTTAGGGTTTAGGGTTTAGGGTTTAGGGGCTAACCCTAAACCCTATACCGATACCCTAAACCCTAAACCGTCAATCTAATGAGCCCCCTCAGGGATGGCACCTATGCTACACCCCAGGTCCTATTAACTCCTTCGCCTCAGGGCTTTGGGTAGCCTCCTTGTTTCCTTCTTCTGTTTAGGGTTTAGGGTTTAGGGTTTAGGGGGGTGCTTCTCTGCTCCAAGACCGAAGAAACCCCAAACCCTAAACCCTAAAAGCGCTAAGCCATAAACCCTAAAGGGGTACCTTTCTTTGTTACAGGGCCGCTGCGAACCTAGAGCCATTCCCCTGGGAAACCGCAGACACTGAGGTTTGACAACCCAGAGACTCTAAAACCCCTTAACTAAGCTAAACCGTAAACCCTAAACCCTAGACCCTAAAGATTATAACAGGATCCCGAATATGCTCTAGGGTATATTCCCTAATTCCTTGATAGATCCCTCTATAAGGAGCCTTTAAAGGAACGATTAAAGGAAGCCTTTAAGGTGTATTCCTTAATTGGTTTTGGAGTCTCTGGGAAGTTCATGCACTTCATCAGCCCCCAGGCCTAACTCAGACCCTTTTAGGGTTTGGGGTTTAGGGTTTAGGGTCTCAGACCCTAAACTCTAAGCGCCTGTAATCTTGGCGTTCTTCTGGTTGGCTCTTAGGACTTTGATTGTGAGGGTTTCTATATGTACCATAACGTGTCGCGAATTTTTTACGTAACTTTTAGGAGGGGTTCAGAAGTCAGCGAGTCAG